GCGGACGTCTTGGACAGGCAAAAATGCCTTGACGCTCTGGCTGCTCTCCGCCACGCTAAGTGGTTCCAGGTTCGGAACATCATTTTACTTTCTTATTGTAGCCTTATGAGACACATTTATTTTTGATTATTTTGTAAGCAGTTTATACAAATTGTAAAATAAATCAAGGATGCCTAGTGTAATTGTGTATTACCCTGAAAAATGTGAACTCTAGAAAGTTGTTTTCAGTTGCCTTTTTCTACACAATTTTTTTGCTGTTCATATCAATGTGACGAGGCATCCTTGCATTTTCGATCTAATAGCTACACCCATATAATCCAGTCATTAGTTTTAAATCTCTACTCCATAAGGCTGCAGAGTAACTTGACATGTATGTCATCTATAAGAGCTTTCATGTTGAGCTTTGTACTTTTTTGTGATTTATTTTTAATAGGGATTGTGAGAAAAGGAACATCTGATTAGTTTACTTGTGCAAGTATCACAGTAAAGTAAAGCAGATTTCCTTGCCTTCAGTCCCTGTGCTTTCCTTCTGAGCCTATGTAATTCCAAGTACTCGTTTGTGAACGATTTAAAACCGAGGTCAAGGTTTACAAGATGACTGGGGCTCCCTTGTGCATCTTGCAAACTTTGAACTCATACTAACTATGAGGTAAAATACTGCTGTGAATGGCAGCTGACCATAAGTAATGCCATATAACCTGAACCAATCACAAGCTTCCATTGTGAACAGTAGTGTTGCACCTCTCCAGAAGCCCATTCCAGTACATGTCAGTGTTGTTTCGCCTTGTCACTAACTAAGTTTGACTTCATTGCACTTAAGGCTAGAGCAAATGGACTTCAATCCTGCGTGATTATTATTCGCATTCTGCGTGATCTCTGTCAGCGTGTGCCCACTTGGTCTGCCTTTCCCAGCTGGGTAAGTAGCAGCTGCCATTGTGCTTAGCTCTGGGAGGCTCTGTCTTTACAGTCCTCCTCTGCCGTCTCGAGTCTGATCTGCATTTTCTTTCCAGGTTTAAAAATGTGACGTTTCCTGTATGTTCTTTCAGTAAAATGATATGTATAAATGTATTCTAAAGTGCTCTAAAACTCATGTAGGCATGTTAGTAATTCTGCATTGTATTTATATCAGGGTTCATAGATCTTGCTTCACATGTATGTTTGAGTTTCATCAGTTTAGTCTCTTGTAATATTATTCTCTGGAAGGTCCAGTGTTTAACCTGTAGCTACTCTACATTTCTCATGTATTGTATGATAAAATATATGCTTTCATATATTGGTCCCAGGGGGAATTCTATACATATTATTTTCACATCTACCATGAACTACTAAGGGAATGCATTTTTTTTTTACTTTTCTCTGTAGAATACAGTATATAATAACACTGCATTTCCTGCAGTTTTATCTTATGGCAGAAAAACTTATCTCAAGAAAACACATCCGGCACTGTAGCTGAGCCCTGAGTTTCCAGTGAATTATTATGATGTTAACATGACTTGCCCCTCCCCCCAGGCAATGGAGCTGCTTGTTGAGAAGGCTATAAGCAGTGCATCTGGGCCCTTGAGTCCTGGAGATGCACTGCGGAGAGTCTTTGAATGTATTTCCTCTGGGATACTACTATCAGGTAAGACGTGATGAATGGGCTGCTTAAAATCGATGACCATTCTAAAATGGCCCACACGTCCTTTGGGATTTCACACAGGATGACCAGCGTTAGTCTTTGTGGTGGAATGTAACTGACCTATATAACCATCATGTATAAACATAGTGAAAATAGAACATTAGCTGGGAAGTAAGAGTAGTGTAAAAAAAGTTTGGTCAGTATGAGAAATTATGCATTCCTGTAACTGTGGGAAAGGGTAAGATGCACTTTAAGTTTTATGCACTACTGGAAGATTAACAGATTGGAATGTCTGTGAATAGGTGGTCCAGGATTGATAGACCCCTGTGAGAAGAACGCCACAGACACTCTGGCCACCATGTCTGAACAGCAGAGAGAGGACATTACCTCCAGCGCACAGGTGCCCCAGATTCCTCTACATACTTCGAGGTGGATTGTTCAGGTCCAGAAAAAGACGAATCCAGACCAAGGTTTTGTTTTAACCAACCAGTTGAGTACTCAGTGACTGTTGAAACAAAATCTTGGTCTGGGTTTTTTATTTCTGGACCTGAACTACTCACCACTGATTGATAGGGTCAATTTATCTAGTTGAGTGCTTTGGCTTGAAATGTTTTTTTCAAGACAATCTGTGCCCTTTAGGAGTATTTTACATGGACTGGATGTTTTACTTGTAAGTTAAGAAATTGGATGTTGTGTTCTGTGATAGGAGTTATATTCAGACCCTCTCATTCCATGGCCAAATTTTGCCTTCTAGCAGGGACTGCTCTTGTGCTGGTTTTACTTTTCTCCTCCCCCTTTTTTCAGGTGGTATTTTCTATGTGAAATCCTCAGCTATCTTTCGTGCGACTTACCCCTGTGTCATCACTTTTCTGTAGTTTGCCCTGAGGCTTCTCGCCTTTCGCCAGATCCACAAGGTTCTGGGTATGGACCCCCTTCCCCAGATGAATCCGCGCTTCAACGTCCGCAACAACCGCAAGAGGCGGAGGGACAACAGTGATGGAGTCGACGGCTTTGAGGGCGAAGGGAAGAAGGACAAGAAAGATTATGATAGCTACTAAGCATTCCCACACCACCGATGCTATTAAACACTAATATAAAATACATTGTATACATACCCATTTGTTTTAATTTTTCTCAAATATATTTTAGTTTTGTGACCTCTTTAGTGTAGTTAGTCTGACCTCAGTTTTTCCTATAATTTTAAAAGCAGTTGTCAGACTGCGGCTAAACTGGGTATTACTGATGTCCTAAATGTCTGTGCTGTGCTGTACTGCTTGGCTTCAGAGTGAACTAGTCAGCCAGGCCTGTGGTCATCAATGAAAAAGCAGGTTTCCCTGTCAGTGTCTGAAGTTGAATATTTATAATTATTATAGCTTCCTATGCTCTGCTAGTCTGTCAGAGGACATTGTCTGTAACACCCAAAATAAAAACTAGATTAATATATGAATCTGCTGTTCTAGGTATTCATTGAGAAGAACATGCCACCTAGGTGTTCACAAGCATATCATTTTAAACTAGTTACATTTAGGCGGTTGGAGATTGTCTAGCCTAAATAAAGCACAGTCTAGGACCATAGATATCTTTTCTAAGTGGTGTTGTTTGAGTTGTTCATTCAAATAGAATAATGCAAACCCTGTATGGCTAATGTCTTGTGCTAAGGCTGGACTTGGAATGTGTTCATGTAAAGAGCTCATGCCAGATTGTCATGCTTTTGCAGATTCTTGTGGCATTGTATTAAATTTTCAATGGTCACTCATTTTTTGAATAGTTTAATGTTTATTCAACAATTTAATTAACCGTTTGTCATCAGTGCATGCCCCATACATTATGTAGTTTCTTTTTTTTAGGCATTTGTAATAATTTTAAACTTTGATTTAAATGCTTTATCGTATCTAAATCAAATGACAATGCAGTTGTGAATTTGTGGCAGTTGCATGCCACGTTAGTGTTTGTAATTGCTATTATAAGTATAGACCTTTATGCCTTTCATGCGGTCACTGTGGAAGTGTACTACTGCATTACAATGGGAAGATTTTTTTCCTTTACGCATGTACCTGATGATGGAACTGCATAACAATTTTGCACATCATTTATGCATTGTAAATGTAGTGTTTAATGAAGACCCCTCAACCCATAGTGACCAGTGTTGGATAATACATTGCTTTGACTGATGTTTAAACTGTGGTAAATGTAATTCTGCTTTCCCGAAAAAAAGTTACAAGAAAGACCGTTCCCAGCTTTCATCAAAGCGCTAATAAAATGAGCCTCCTCGGTTACTTTTGAGCTGGTAATGGCGTTGCTGAAGTTCCTTGATATTTTGTGCGAGAAGCTTAGAACTGAGTTGATTACATCAACATGAGTCTTGCATGTTACAAGGGGCACATGCTTTACCTTAAAGCAAATTGATACCACAAAATATAAATTCGTTTTAAGTGTGTATCAAAGAGTATTGTCAGTCCTGTGAATAGAATATGCTGTGATGTTGAGATGGCTTTCTCAGCTTTGATCTAAGGTATATTGAAGACTGGATTTCAAGAAACATGACTGTTTACCAGCTGTGGTTTTCTGAATTGTTTGGTTTTGCTATTTCACTCAACATTGTTTTATAACTGTTCCATACTGAAATATGCTCAAAATATGCATCTGGTGACACAACATGAAATGAAAATTTATAAGCCATTGGATAGCAGACTTTGGTAATGGCAGGGTAAACTTAACTTTTACGTTGTTACCAGTATGTATTATTTTAGGGTTATGTTGAATTAGTCAAAAAGCAAACATTTCTTCAGATTAAGGAAAATGAAGTAAAAGGAAATATACAACTGAGGTAACTGACAATGATTTGGGGGTTGGGCTAGGTTGTTCCAGATCAATCCAAGTTAAATAAAATAGGTATTATACACCGTAACTGCGCGTTATTTAATCTCCAATCGAACTGCCAGGCATGGCCAATACTGCCACTTTTCGTTGTAAAATTTTGTGGTGTAGTACGATAGACGAATGAATTGAAACAAATGTCATGTGTTGTGTATTAAGATAACCGTGTGATATGTGAAACAAGTACTTCTGGCCAGAGTGAATCTTGATACACTAATTACATTCTGTGCTGTGTTTTGTTTTGCGAGTATAAATAACTCTCTCACTTTATTACTGGTTACATTTGGAAATTATTTCCGTATTAAAATGTATTTATATATATATTAAGTAGTATTAAGTAGTGCGCACTTCAGGCTAGGCCTGATAGGTGCTGTTCGGTTTACTTCCTGTTTATACATCCACCTGCAAAATTAGGAAGTTTTCAAAGAAACAGTCCCTGACATATGGGTGGAAAGACAGGCCGTCGACCAATGAAAACCCTCCTGGTTACTTTGTGCCCGCCCACCGTGGAGCGTGACAGTTCCAGGTTCGCGTGAAGTTGCAGAAACCTTCGCGGAAGAAGCGATGAGCGTTTCGGCGTAACTTAGTTTTACGAATGGTTTGTATTTACAGCCTGTTTTAAAAAAGTAATTAACGCAGCTGCTTTCGAGATGTTTTCTCTAGGGAGTAACGGTGGAAAATATACAAAGCCTTCGTTTGTTTCCTATGTTAATCCTGAGGTACGTATGTTTCTAATTAAAATGCATTTTAAATATATTACAGTGAAATACTTTCTGGTGCTTATAAAGTCTAAACATGAACTAAGGTTCAACTAATTTCTTAATAGCTCTGCTTTTAACTGTATTATTAACGTATTTTTCAAATAACAGTTCATGGCAAATAAAATTTACTGTTATATATGTTTAATAAGTTGTTTAACTTGATAATTTAATACAGTAATTTGCAGTTAGTCCGGAAAGTTACTGTACAGAAAGAACATAATCGCATATAGCTCTAGAAACAGAATGGACTTATGAAACAAGTATGGCATTTCTGAAACAATTTGTTCCCATAATAATTAACGTGACCAACTTCCAATGAAACATCTCGTATCGATTAATCAAAGATATATAATTGTAAAAAATGTGAAGAACAATAATGAAATCCTTTTGATAGAAGTATATATACTACCTACTAAAATTCTGTAGCTGCTCAGATCGGAGTACGGTATTTCACCGCGTATACTTTTCCACAGTCCATCTTCGTTAAATCGAAGTCGCCAAACAATTAAGTGATTTTTTAATTGTTTGCAAATAATCGTTTGATTTCGTTTATAGAAAGAACAGCCTCGATTGTAAATTATGAAGCTGTTTCAAGGTGAACCTTGCTGGAGTATCAAGGGACCGAAGGTCCGAGAATGCATGCTCCTTGTGGAGTTATAATGAATGCGCTAGCTGTATATAAAATGAAAATTCTCTTATTTTAAGTTGTTTGTGCAGATTAAACCTATTCACTTTGGCCAGTGAAGTATTACCAAAGCCTTCCACAATTCTGAATGCAAAATTAATTGTTTTCAAACAATGAGTAGGATTAGTTGTGGTTGGTAGGTTTAATGATAGATGATAATTAATTTTACCCGAAAACGTTCTGTAAACTGTCCTAGGGAACGTCTCTTTGAACCACTCCAGTTTCTTCATTTCAGTATCAAAAGTTTAAGCAACTCAGTCACAGAATTTCACAAGTGGTATTTCATCGCTGTGGATAACCTCGGTACTAAAGCTGGCTAAGGTGGTTGATATGGTGCACAATGCGCCCTAGTATGAACGTTAACCTGAAACTTCTAGTGAATGACTTGTAAACGCATTATTGTGCGGCACACATTGTGGTTCTTTCTAGTTACCGTTGCTGCTATTGTTGACTTTAAGTGTTTTTCTATTTAATATGCACCCTGTGCGCCGGTGGAATGCAGAATGATTCGGGACAGTCTACACGTACTCAGTTTTTAATTTTTACCCTGTAAGTAAAGTGCCATGTAAAAGATGCAGAACTCAGGTTTTTCCAAGGTTTAACAATAACCCGTGAGCCTTTGAGCACCCGTTTCAGGCTAACGATTAACTCCACGCAGAGTGTTTATATACTGAGTATGCATTGTTTTCTTTTGTTCAAGTTCGACATGCCTGTTTGTTCAGTTTCCCTGAAAGCCGTATGCAAACCATTTAAGAATGATGTTTAGCAAGGACGCTAAATACGGTAAATTTACTTCCTCTTTTAGGCAGCGGTAGATGTGTTAGTATAAAAAAAAAAACCTAGTCCAGTTTCAGAGTTGCAAGACTACAGAAACTTCACTACGCTTGAGTTCTCAGTGTCTTTGTAGTTATTTTAATTTGCATTGTTAAGAGCAGCTCAGCTCTTTATTACTGAAGGAAGGAAATTGTGTATGGTTGATATAAGGACAATACTCTAGGCAATACTGAGGCTTCAAACTGTCTTGGGTGCTGCTCAAAATATGTTGGGGAAGTTACATCCTCATGGGTATTTTTTGATGTTAGCTTTCCTTTGTCATGAAATTACTTCCCTGCTTCCTTTATAAGCATTGTGGACAATCAGCCTTTTGGGAAAATACTTGTTAACTTATAAAATAAAGGCCCATGGGTATGTTCCCCCCCCCCCCCATGCCATTGCATGCCGTTACATGAGTACTGTTCATGTTAGTCCCATGCCTTGCTCCGTGCCCTTCATGGAGTAGGTTTTACTGGATGGATGGTCAGAATTAATACCCTGTGAAAGGTCCCAGGCCCATCATGGTCCTGTACTAAACGGGCAATGGATGGAATAACACGTTTCTCTCTCGTTTCTTTTTCTTTTGACTTAAGCAGAAAGGAAACGATGCACTGCAGGAAAAAAATCCAGTTTTTTTGCCAGGTAATTCAAAACATGGTCTGGTACATCATTTTAATCTGTTGCCTTAGCCACACATTTATAGTAAGTTATGCACTGAGAGAATTAGTATTTTGGCTGTTTCTCCAAGGATGCGGTTTTATCTGTGAAGGTATATATGACAACTCGCTTTTGTGTGGGGTGGTCTGAGACTTTCTAGCAAAGGTACTTCAGATTTTGTACAGACTTGTACTGGGTCATCCTCATGTTGTTTGTGATCAATATTGTCCAATTATACTCCAGAGAGATATCTATTTGTCATATCCTGTAATATGAAAGTTTACTTCTCTATTGTTATTGTTATTACATTACAGGTGAAGTAGTATTTTGCAGTGCCAGTCCTGTGTTAAAGTGCACCCACGATGATCTGCTTGAGGGCAGCATTATGGGTACACTGTTCTGCACCAACTTTCGCATTTCATTTGTCAGTGACCAAGTGCTCTTAGAGGATGTGGTGAGTGCCGCATTAGCCGATGTCTACTGCTATATTTCATGCTTCAACATGGGGAAGTTCCCCAGCGTTCTTTCACCTCCATTATCATCCACCATGTGTACTGCTAGAGGAACTGTTGCTGCTATTTTAAGATGCAAGTTTGCTTTCTTTTTAGTATGTGATCTCCAGATTTTACAGAAATAAAGCTATAAGTTAAATGCTTCATCAAGAGAAAAATAATTATAGATTTTAAGGTTAAAGAGAAGAGTAACTGTCCTATTCATGTCCTATAGAGTAGTAAGCTCAGGAAAACCTTTCTATGGCAGGAAATTCAATTACTTACAGCATACAGTGCTCTCAAAAAGTACTCAGACCACTTTTTTCATATTTTAAAAATGTGGCAGCCTTATGCTAAAATTAAATTTTTATTCAAAACAATCTGCACTCTATACTGTATGATGACAAAACATAATGACAATTTCAGAAATGTTTGCAAATTTATAAAAAGTAAAGAAAAATTTAATTAAACCTTCCATTGAGAAGAATTCAGACCCTTTGCTTGAAATTTAGCTCAGTTGCATTCTGTTTCTATTGATCATCTTTGAAATGTTTCTGCACCTTTTCTTGGAAACTACAGTCATGGCTAAAATTGTTGGTAATTTTCCAGAAAATGCACCATTTGTCCCAGAAAACTGTTGCAGTTACAAATGTTTTGGTATACACATGTTTATTTCCTTTATGTGCATTGAAACTACACAAAAACGAAGAAAAGAAGCCAAATTTGACATTTCACACAAAAACTCAAAAAACTGGGCCGGACAAAATTATTGGCACCCTCAACTTAATATTTGGTTGAACACCCTTTGGAAAAAATAACTGAAATCAGTCGCTTCCTATAACCATCAACAAGCTTGTTACACCTGTACATACTCAAAACAACAATTTTGAGATCTCACCATACGTGTTCAATCAGATTTAGATCCAGACTCATTGCTGGCCACTTCAGAACTCTCCAGTGCTTTGTCTTCAACCATTTCTGGGTGCTTTTAGAGGTATGTTTGGGGTCATTGACCTGCTGGAACCCCCATGACCTCTGACACAGACCCAGCTTTCTGACACTGGGCCCTACATTGTGCCCCAAAATCTTTTGGTAGTCCTCAGATTTCATGATGCCTTGCACACAGTCAAGGCACATAGTGCCAGAGGCAACAAAACATCCTCAAAACATCTTGGAACCTCCACCATGTTTGACTGTAGGTACCGTGTTCTTTTCTTTGTAGGCCTCATTCCGTTTTCTGTAAACAGTAGAATGATGCGCTTTACCAAAAAGCTCTACCTTGGTCTCATCTGTCCAAAAGATTTTGGCTTCCTCAAGTACATTTTGGCAAACTCCACTCTGACTTTTTTATGTTTCTGTGTCTTCCTGGAACTCCTGCCATAGCATTTCATTTCGTTCAGATGTCGACAGATAGTTCGAGCTGACACTGTTGCACCCTGAGTCTGCAGAACAGCTTGAATTTGTTTAGAAGCTGATTGGGGCTGTTTATCCACCATTCTGACTATTTTTCGTCACAGTCTATCAATTTTTCTCTTCCGTCCACGTCCAGGGAGATTAGCTGCAGTGCCATGTGTTGTGAAATTCTTGATTATGTTGCGCACAGTGCACAAAGGAACATGAAGATCTCGTTAAGAAATCACTTAGCTAGATTTTGCAACATCATATTCAAAACATCTTCACTCCTTGTTCATTTAGCATTTTACTGGTGTAACTTTCATCATACAAGAATAATCCAGGGCTTTTTATTTTCCTCTAAATGGATTAATTTAAGGAGAAAATTAGAACTCGTATTAATGTTCTTCTCAGCTCCAATAGATTGCTATATTTTTCTTTAAAATGTCTTTTAGAGATCTGTATATTAATATTTTTGTTCATTCTCCCAGTTAAATTAAAAATGAAAACAGCCTATTTAGATGTCTGCAACTTTTGAACTTTGTACTAACTAAACTGGCCTGGTTTCCCCAGCACAAAAACAGTATTACCCTAGATATTGTGCCCATAATTCCATGTGAGAGGTATAATCATATGGATCTATCAGTCTACTGCCCCCTCTCTCTATCATTAAACTACTGGGGAAATGATTTAGTGCTTGAGTTGGCTGAAGACAACTTCATACGTATTGGACATAGATTTTCAGAACCCCTTGCAAACATTTCTTTCTAACCTTTCCAGTTAACTGCGTTCTTTGACATAGTTGCTGAAGATAACCTAGAAGACTGATCTATCAGTTAAATTCTATTGCCTTTGATAACAAGAAGGTTGATTGCATTGAAGTGGAAAGATAAAAAGCTACCTTTATATACTCACTGAATAAGAGACCTAATGCATTTCTTGCAGTTACATCAAGTTTAGTTTGAGAGGTTATACTGAAGTTATACAAAACATGTCATGTAAAAAATTTAAGTGTACATAGATATAATTGGAGCATAGTACTGATAATGTAATGAGTCTGTTGTAATTTTGTTTTGCATTATCTTACATTGGTAAATGACCCAAAGTATTAATTTTTACTACTTCACAGAGAGGAAAATGTACTTCTAGAACCAATAGTAGCTTATAGTCTGTTTAACATGATTAAAATGCTTTGGTAAATTTGTTTATTCTGGTATGCCTTTCAGGTTCAGCCTTTCAGAAACAGGTTATATGGAGAAAATGATATTCCCCTGACATGTGTTGATCAGATCTATGGAGGTATGTATTACATCATCAGACTAAGGCTGGAAGGAACCTTACTTCCATTTGACTTTCCCAGTTAGTGTGTCAGTGTTATATATTGATTATGCAGGACTGTATGAAATGCATGCACTTAAAACTAGTTATAATGTAATTTTTTTAAAACCTAGATTATGATGAAAAAAGGAAACTAATAACAAATACTCAAATGAAGAATAAACATCCCAACGGGATTATTGTTCACTGTAAAGACTTGCGGGTCTTTCAGTTCTCGCTCAAGTTAGCCAAAGAAGAGGCAGCAAAAAAGGTTTGGGCATCATTTCTGTATTTTATGTTCTCTCTGTGCATACTTTGAAACCACACATAACAGTCGTAACTGTTTGTTTTTTCTGGTTATTGTGCAGATCTTTCAGGGTATCGTCCGCCACAGTCTAGAGCCGAAGTCACTCAGATGCATTTTTGCATTTTCCTACTGTGAAAACATCGCAGGAGCTCCAGGTATAGAATGTAAATATAGACTTAGACAATGATAATGCGCTGCTGTTATGCGAAGGTGGTTCATACGAGTGGTGTCTTGCACAAAAATCAATATTAATGTGTTGTTTCCATTTCATGTATAAAATCGTTATGTATTTGTCATGTGCTTTTTATAGAAACGCAAAACAAACCAAGGACACTGATGTTTGAGAACATTGTTGATTGGATGGAGGAAATGAAGAGAACCAAAGGAAACTGTAAATTACTGGAAATAAATAAAGATTTTACAATTTCACAAAAGTATGTTATCCTAATGTATGCAGTATACTTTGTATTAATGCTAGATTTCTGTTTTGTATGAAAATGAAGAAATTGAGAATTAGTGACACATTGACATTTATTAATGTAATAAGTATACACTGATCAGCCATAACATTACAATGACTGACAGGTGAAGTGAATAACATTATCTCATTTTAGTGGTACCTGTCAATTATTTATTAGGCAAGTGAACAGTCAGTTCTTGAAGCTGATGTATTGGAAATAGGAAAAATGGGCAAGTGTTAGAAATATAGGCATAGTTTGCTTTGCAAGATAGCTGGTTAGTACCAGCTAAGGTAGCCATCCCTTGGGTCGGTTCTTTAGCCTTCTGACTCGCTAGCTAGTCATTTTATTTTTTTTACCACCACTGTCATGGGTTATAAATAACAAAACACCGAATTCCATTTGTTATCACCAGGTCAACAATCAGAGTAAAATTGCAGTATTAAAAAAAGAAAACAGAAAGCTTGTGAAATTACAGAAAGTTGTCATTATTTGTTTGTTGGTTTATGGGGGGGCACTCTTATTGTACCCCCTCAGAATTTTGGCTTGCATGACACCGCTTTGCACCAGGGTGCACTATGGGAAGAAGTCAAGGCGACAGAGAGAGTGTGATGCTCTGGGGAATGTTCTTGTTTCTTTGACACGCACCACCTGCCTAAACATTGTTGCAGAACAAGTACACTCCTTCAGGGCAACAGTTTTCCTCGATGGCAGTGGCCTCTTTCAGGTGGATAATGTGCACTGCCACACTGCAAAAATGCAGTGCAGGAATGCTGAGGATACCCCTGATTTCAAACAGGTCTGATGCATGGAAGTCCCACCTTTCAACTTACTAGACATAAAAGATCTGCTGCTTGATGCCAGATACCACAAGACACCTTGTGGAGTCTATGCCTCAATAGGTTAGAGCTGTTTTGGCAGCAAAGGGGATGCTTATACAATATTAGGCATGTGGTTTTAATGTTATGGCTGATTGGTATATTGCAGGTATTAGGTGGACATTCATTTAACATGCACTGATTTTTTTTTAATGATTTTTTAAAATGTATTAAAAGTTATTAAAATATATTAATTTGTTAAATTTTAATTTATTTTAATATGAGCAGTAGCAGCATGCTATATTGTACTCTTCCTGAATGTTATGTTTTAAGTTGTACAGGGTTTTATTTGACAGGCTACCACAATTTTTCTTTATTCCAACAAATGTTTTGGAGAAGGATTTGGCAGCATATCAGGGGAAAGGTGTACCCGTAAGTCTTTTATATGCTTTTGACCTATTTGCCATTATACATACTGGCATCTTCTCACCTTATCAGATAAACTAGCAGCATGCATGGTGTTTAGCTTCATGCTATTTAGCTATTTATATATTTTATGTATGAGCTTTATAGTATTTAAAAACAAATTTAAGTGCAACTCTTTCCCAAACACATTCTTAGATTCTTGTGTGTAGAGTTTTATCTGGTTTCTATCTTGACTGTTAATGCTATACAGAGCAATCGACAATAAATGTAAAAATGTCACAGGCAGAAAATCACAGAGAGCTGAGTCAAATCCCACCCACTCTTGGTGTGTGTGTGTGTGTGTGTGTGTGTGTGTGTGTATGTGGATTTTCCATGTTCTCCCCATGTTATGTTGGTTTCTTTGTACAGTCCTAATTCATGGAGATGCCAAATCAGCATCTCTAAATGTCCCCCACTTTTCACCCTATAAGGCCTTGGCTAGGCTCTAGGCCTGCTGTGACCATGTACTGAATATGCTGTTGTAAGGATGGGTGGATATTTAAAATATTCTAAATTTAAATTTACTGATTACAGATTTTTTTGGGGGGTCTGGTGTGGGGATTAATATTTTGTTTGCTTTTCAGATTTGGTGCTGGTCTCACCACAGTGGCTGTGCTCTGTTTAAAACTGCCAGTTTACCTTTGGTGCAGGAGGAGAGTTTCCTACGGGCACAAAAACTGTACATGGAGAGGTACATCGTCTGAACTTTTTCTTATTTTATTGCTGCACTTATGTAGCTCATAGTTCTCTTTTCTTCATCAGTTATGACCCATTAATGAGTTCTACTGCATGCACTTCACAGTACAGAACATTTAGAATGCAAATTCAAAGACCGCTGTAAACTGAATCACTTCTGACCACAATGAATCTTCAGTATCAGAAAATTTTAATTATCTAAGTGAAACAATTATTTTTGTCTTTCGAAAACCAAACATTATACTCAGACTATGTTAGTGACCTTTTTTGATTTTTACCCTTAAAATTCAGCAGACTAAAATTACGTAATGGTTTTCAAATAAATACACTAGACACACCATTCTTTGTGTGAGTGTGTATATAATTTATTTTATTTTTTTTTGCTATTACTTATCATGAAAAGATGTGAAACATATTATACATTTTACCCTGGTTTATATTCTTTTACGCAGTTCCCCAAGACTAAACCTATTCATACAGTAAAAGAAATTCTAAAAAGAACTCTAAAACACTCTAAAATATGTTCTTCGTTGCAAAATATTTTATTGCATTTTTATTTTACTGTTTTTTATTTTGCTATGCTTCTGTGTCCGGTTATTATTAACACTGTAACATACAGGAGCAAAAATAGCAATATTTAATAATAAAATAATGTCACAGTTACATAATACCAGATACAAAAGTTAGAATAAGATTTCTTTGCAATGATTCTTTTCAGAATGCTGAATGCTGTGGCTCACAATTACCTTTATGCTGTAAAAGCAGTGGACCTCTCTGAGACGCTTCCCAGCATCCAAGACATCCAGCAGTCCTACAGCAGATTCAAGCAGAACTTCCTCATTGGTCAGCTGTTCTCACAGCAATAGCAATGGAACTGGAAAGATGCTTTCTTGTTTATGCGATACAAGTACTGATCTGCTTGTAGTTTAGCGTGCATAAGTTTTATTAAATCCGAAATATTTTTTAAATCTATAAAAGGATAAACTGTTTCATCAAGGTGATCACCATACATATGACAATAATATAAATAGTATGTGGTATATCAGAATATTAAAAAATATCATATTTCCACTTTAATGCTCAGAAAAAAATAATTCTTTGTATGTTGTAAATACAGAAGCACACGTCCTTATTATTATTTTTTTATTATTTTGGATAATAAACTATTACCAGTCTTTGTAATTAAGGGTCCAAAGGACGAAGTCCTTATGGACCATTATTTTTAATTTGTTTTTGCTACTTCATATAGACAATATTGGTGAATTTTGGATTTCTGATATGAAATGGTTCTCTACACTGGAAACCACAAGATGGCTCAGCATCATCAGGTATGCTTCCGACGTTTGCTCCATAATCACGTAGCACATAGGAAGTGATGTCATGCGAAACTGCTCATAAAGGATGATGCTCAAAGGTGCTCGCCGGTCTTGGGAGACAGCTGTCTTTTAGTGGGTCTTAAAGGATTTAGAGAAGTAATAAGCTCCTTTTATTCCTTTTAGGGCTCACATAAAGAACCTCATTTCCCATGACTCCATGAAAAACCATACTGTCAATTAAATGATCATATATTTTATTCAGACTGTGGTGTGGGCCCAGAGAGGTTTGATATAATTGGCATAAGTGCAGTAGTGCAGTTACTCAAGGCAAGATGAAGGATGGAATGATAATTTTGCCCCTTGAAAAGATAATAATTGCAATGCAATTTGAAACATCAATACATTCTTAAGCAGTTCATATATAAAATTTCTTTGTTGTCTGTTTGTAAGAATAAGCATCAGCCCTTTCTGGGTTTACCTTTGTAGGGTTGTTTAAAGCTTCTCTAAAGCACTGATCAGTAACTTCATTTAATTTCACAGAAAGGGTTGTGGATTGTGGGTTGGGTGGCTATATTTATAGCCAGAGAATTAAAAAAGAACAAAATATCCAATAATATGTTTGACAATGTGCAATATTAAATTTTTGAGGAACTCATTTGGTAGATGATAAGTTCAGTTTGGCTATAGTTTGTTTTTGATACATTTTCAACTCATTTTTTGCTTTATCAAAATCGCATTGTGATATTTCAGGAAATTTCAAGATTCAGTATTGTCCTATCATGCTCTGTTGGATTTCCTTTCAACTGTATAGCCAAATAGTTTGTTTGAAAAGTTATGTAGTTCAAATACTGCCCTTATATCAGAAGTAGGATCCCCTCTAGTGAGGTCCCCCAGTAATTTTTCCCCAAGGGCTAAATTCTATGACAAATCCAATGCTGGGGGAGAAGATGCTGCTGATAAAATTTCCCGGAGTGTGGGGGGGTCATTAAGGATGTTGTTCATTATTGTTTTGTCCATTTTTTACAGGCAGTGTCTTCATAAAGCTGTTGAGGTTGTTGAATACTTGGAAAAGGAAAATACAAACATCCTTCTTATCGGTGAGGAAAAAGTGTACAATTTCTTTTATTCAAATACATGTTATACATATTTAAAAGTATACTCCCAATGGGAAAGCACTTTATAAGCCTGCTGTACTGCTTAATGTAAAAATATACAATGCTAAAAGATACAGTATGAATAACCAAGTGTGTTTGTTAATTCTGCACCAGAGGATGGAGGCACAGACCTCAGCTGTGTGATCTCCAGCCTTGTCCAGCTGATGCTGGACCCTCACTACCGAACACTGACAGGCTTCCAGAGTTTGGTGCAGAAAGAGTGGGTTGTTGGTGGCCACAACTTTCTGGAGCGCTGCAACCATCTAAACAATAAGGACAAGGAGGTACACTTGTGGAAATACTTGACTAAGGGAAAATTTTGTGAATGTCATCAACCAGCTGGACGCTGAAGCTTTAATGACACTTGTTTCTGGGCGTCCTGTGTTTGATCCCTCTACCCTCCTGCTGCAGTCTCCGGTATTCCTGCTTTTCCTGGAGTGTGTTTGGCAGCTTCTTCAGCAGCACAGCCTGGCATTCCAGTTCTCAGAAACCTACTTGACGGTCCTCTCTGACAGCATCAGTGTCGCCATATTCAGCACATTCATCTTCAGCTCACCCTACCAGAGAGTCTCCAGCATGAAGGCAAGCATTACAACATCTGCATGGGGATAACTTTACTGCAGTTCCAGGTCATTTTCATAGTACTTTCTGAGGTATAGAGTGTAGGGCTGGGTGATGTGCGATAATAATGTTATGGACATGCAGTTGCCACATCATAAGGACCGTGATGGTCAGCTGGGTTGAGATTTGGATAGAATGGTAACAAATTTTTCATTCCATCATATCACTCAGACATTATAGCGTGGTATATATTTTCTAATATAGTTCTAGTATTTTGAAATGTTGCTGATAAAATTAAGTGGGGGGCAGGCTGATCCTCATGATAACAAACACTTAACGGAGATCATCAATACGTTTCTTTAAAACATTCTTACTTTGTCATAAACAAAACTCCCCGCCTGCGCCCATTGTTCCCGGGGTAGGCTCCGGTCCCTCCCGCAATCCCAGTTGGGATTCAGCGGTTTCAGAAGATGGATGGATGGATGGATAAACAAAACTTAGAATGCTTTTTTATTGTTGTTATTATTTCTTTTCAAGATTATCTAGTGTAAATTACAAAATTGGTGTAAAGTTTACCACTGCTTCATTTGCATGAGCTTTGCATGAGCTCACTGAGCAAATCATAGTTTTCTTGTTGCTGCTAGACCCATTCATAGACAGTGTGGTGAGTTTGTGAAAAAAATTAACAAAAATGAGTGAGCAGGTGACAAGTGAACAAGAAATGATTGCTAAAATACTATAGCCATCTGCTGTATGGAAATACTTTAGCTTCTATTGATATTATATTGAGCAGAAGCAAGTGATTTGTTGGCACAAACTCACAGCACCCTCCAGAATTATTGGCACCCCTTATAAAGATTTTTAAAAATCCACTTTTTGGTGAAGCAGCTTCATGTCACACTGAAAAATTGAGAAAAATCCAACTTTTCATCAACATAAATTTATTCCAAGAGAAAAAAAATCCTTCATCAAGAAATAACAAAAACACATGTGCCATGATTATTGGCACCCCTGGAAATTATAGTGAACACAATGTAACTGAAGCATGTTTCCCCTGTAAATTGTACATCTTTGAGTTGAGTGGAGTGAATAGGAACCTTCAAGCTGTAATCCATGACTTCCTGGTTAACAGGGATACGAACATGAGGCGACACAGAGGCCAAATTCCCTTAGTCATCCATCAACATGGGAAAGATAAGAGAACATACAGACCAAATGAGGGAGAAGTGTGTTGACCTTCATAAGTCAGGGAATGGGTATTAAAAAATAGCTACTCACCTTAAAATGTCCATTTCTACTGTTAGGGCAATAATAAAACAACTGGAACTGTTACAAATCTGCCTGGAGGAGGACCCAAGTTAATTTTTCCCCCACGTACAGTGAGGAGGATCATTAAAGAGGCAAAAAAGTCCCCAAGGATGACTGTTGGTGAATTACAAGACCAAGAACATGGGGAGAGCATGTGAACTCCACACAGAAAGGCCCCACACCCGACCTGGAGACTGAACCCAGGACCATCTTGCTGTAAGGCAGCAGCGCAAACCACCGTGCCGCCCAGCCATGAAATACCAGGACGTTTTAAATCAAAATTTGGCCTCTGCCAGGAAACAAAAACTGGGCCATCATTGGATCTTCCAGCAGGACGGTGATCCTAAGCACATGTCCATATCAACATAAAAATGGTTAGCTGACCGGAGAAGCTTCTGACATGGCCATCTCAGTCCCCTGACCTGAACCACATTGAAAACCTGTGGGCTGAGCTGGAGAGGAGAGGGCACAAGAGATGGCTTAAGACCCTGGATGATCTTGACAGGTTCTGTAAAGAGGAATGGACTCTGATGTCCTGCTCTTTATTCTCCAAACCTGTAAAATGTTATAGGAGAAGACTCAGTGCTGTTATACTGGCAAAGGGAGGTTGTACAGGGGTGCCAATAATCATGGCACATGTGTTTTTGTTAAAGATAATTATTTCTTGATGAAGGATTTTTTTTTTCTTGGAATAAATTTTTGTTAATGAAAGGTTGAATTTTTTCTCAATTTTTCAGTGTGACATGAAGCTACTTCACCAAAAGGTGGATTTTTTTTCTAACCCTTTTTACAAATCTTTACAAGGGTTGCAAATAATTGTGGAGGGCGCTGTATTTGTACTACTCTACTACCTCCCGACTGTATTGGTAGATAAGTTCTCTTTGGCTAGGGTTTATTTTTGGTATTTTCAACTAGTCATTTGCTTTATAAATATCAGTATTTCACAAAAAAAATCACATTGCAGTATTTGAAATTTTCAGCCATAGAGTACACTATACAAAAGCGTTTCAGTTTTTCTTGCAGGTTTCTATCTTGTTTTGCTTGTCTCATAAATTTGAATCTCCAGATATAAAATTCAAGAACTGGATTGTAAATTCATGTTTCTTGAACTACCAAAAGCAGTAATGGGAGGACAGTTATTTCTTCACACTCCCTGGTCTTCAGGTGGATGGATGGATCAGTCCTAAAACATCTCAGCAGCAGAATGTGGAGTAGTGGACTGACATCACACACTCCATAAGTATTTGCTTTGATGTTTATCAATCTTGTCTTCACAGACTGAGTCTCAAACACACGGAAGCCTATTAAACATTCCCTCTGTGTGGGACTGGTCCTTGCAATTTGACTGCAAATCCCAGGAGTTTCTCTTTAATCCATTGTACAGAGAGAAGTCAAAACAAGAGAAAACGCGTAACAAAAATCAGCGTCCTAAGGTAAGTCATCATCATACCGTGCTCTCAGAAAATCTTGGGATGCTTGCTGAATTCATTACAAACACTGCAAATTTATTGGTTTTATAACGATAATTATTCATTTATTCGTTTAAAAATATGTATCACATTAGAAGCAACTAGTAGTTTTAAGTAAAACATTAATTTCAAGTAGTAATACATTGAAACCCAAATTATAGTTCTAAAACAGCTGTTCTGAGTTAAAAAGTTCATTCACAACGAGTCTCACTGGGTGCTTTTTAATTAATATCACATTTGCAATAGCATAAAACACCAAATATGTGTGTGTATTATCCCTTTGGTAGTCAGTGACTACAATTGTAATTACTAGCAGAAAAATGACACTTAAAAAGAAAATGTCTATGCAGAAAATATGTGCAGATAAGTTAAATGTTGTGAAACCAATAAATTCTTGAAATTTTTACAGAATTATGCAAGCATCCCAAGACTTTCTGTGAGCACTTATTTTTAAGTATTATTATAATCCTGACCAAATGTAGTGGTTACAAATGCTTGAATTCAATACATGAGTTTAAAAACATTTTTCATCCATATTTAAGTTCTGTTCTGTATATATGATTATGTTACATAAAACTGAAAAATAAAATTGGAACAAGCAGAATAAAAGCTGTTTATCAGAAGAACAATATCCCCACTAAAAGTGCGATGTTTTTATTTCATCATCAGCCCATAAGGCAGTTGTCTTTACCCAATGCAACTCCTCCAAAAAAATACTTTTTCAAAGAAGAGACCGAAAGCCTGAGGAAGATGCTGAGGGGAACACGGATCAGTCGCTGGATGCACTTGTCTGACTCAGCCCAAGCTTCCGTATGGGAATTCTACAACGCTTGGCAGCAAAAGCCTCTGGACTACCACGGGCTGCTTCTGCCTGACCTGGATGGACCCGCCATCCGGCTGTGGATGCAGCGCTACCTCCGCTGGATCCCAGAAGTGCAGATCTTCGGGGGTGGGGATATTACCCTGGTGAATAAGATAACGAGCCTAAGTCAGGAGCTGGAGGAGCTCCGCATGGAACTGGAGCAGCAGGTGCGGCAAGCTGACCCACGCTGCAAGAGCACAGAGACTGTCAACAAGAGCACCATTCGTATGTCTTGCTTCTTCCCTTTCGCCTCCTGTCGCTCTGGGTCCTTCAAGCCTGCTATACCTACCAGCCATTGTGATGGTGAAATGGACATGGGTCATTTAGCTGAGAGGGAGGATGAGGACACGGAACTCACAGACAACAGTGTGATCAGAGGATGTGCAGACTGAAGCTGAGCATTTACTAGTGTAGCAACATTGCACCAGAAAATCAACATCAGGGAATCAATTCATATGCATACTTTTTGACCAGCATTATAATAATTATGATGTCATTATTTTTTTCACAGTAATTTTGAGATTCTTTTTTGTATGCAGTATTTTTGCTATAACTTTTAATGCAGAGGTCAGATACTTAAACTGTGCAGGCTGTCATGGACTTTTATGGAGAGTGGGGAATATTATTTTTCAGTGTCACCTTTAATATAGAATATGTTGTACATTTTTAAAAAAATATGCAGTAATAATTATTGAAAGAGTGGATGACAGTGTCAAAGTAGCTCCATGTTGCGCAAATCAATAATTATTATAAATTATTTAGCCATCTGTAGACTTGCAGGATTAAACAGCTCTGTACTCTATATTGCACTGAACAAACCTTGGTAATACCTCATTTTCTCCTGTGATTCCTTGATTGGTTCAATCAGTCAAGAAATATGATGTCAAAATGCTCCCCTTTAAAGTGACTACTGAATGCAGCAAGGGCAGAACTTACAAATGCTGTTCAAGGATAAACAAAAACAGAAACAATAGGTTTGAGTAGTAAAGCTGATTGATAACATTTTTTCATGTATCTCTGAGCATCTTAGTGCCAAAGAAAAGCTGTGTGGTGTAAATTAAGAGCTAATCTTAAAACATATATTTTAACTTGAAATGTAACATAAGAGTAGATGATGCTTTATGAGGTTCAGTAATAGATCCAAACTTTGAGCACTGCATATTTGTATATTAAGCTTAATTAATAACATTAAAAAATATTAGAATTCTACTGTCATTGAATCATGAACTACTGGATTTACAATATCTTAGACTAAGCGTTGAAATTAGTTTTTAATTGAGATTGTATGTAAATGTTTCTAAATATTTTATTTCATTTTTAAAATATGTGAATGACAACTATCGCAAAGATTTTTCTATGTATGAATAAAGAAGAAATGTGCACCTTTAGTAATATGTGTAGGAACTGGTTTATTTCTGCATGTGTAGCTATGTCTTGTTTGTTCTGAGTGGCCTTGGTAACTAAACCTAGGTTGTTTAAGTTTGAAGTCAGTTGTCATTCATGAAGGCTTGGAAGAAAGTTGCATGTTTGAATAGGACAAACAGCATAATTGTGCAAAAAGCCCATCCCCCCCCACCCCAACACATATCAAGGGAGGCTATCTTGGTGGATACGGTTACTCCACCAAGATCGGTACTTGTTCTTGATGGTATTCAGTCTCTTCTAGTCAACACATGTCCTCATACCCATATCCTCATACACATGTCCTCATACCCATATCCTCATACACATGTCCTCATACCCATATCCTCATACACATGTACTCATACACATGTCCTCATACCCATGTCCTCATACACATGTCCTCATACCCATGTCCTCATACCCATATCCTCCTTGGGTACAAAAAACAGTCATGAGGGTTACAGATGAGGTAGAGGGTCACATCAGGACCTTCTGCAACATTTCACCAAGATACTCCACCACAGCGCTATCTTCTGGGACTGACAGGGTACAGTTACCCTTGTGGAGACCTGATTCCAGGTAACAGGTCCATAGCACAGTCATCAGAATCAGAATCTTTATTATTCACCAAGTACCAAGTGTACAGGGTATTCCTCTTGGTATAGGTGTGACCAAAATGACAACCCAATAAAATGTGTAGAAAAAGATAAAGATATATAAAAGTTATACAAAAAAATATATATATAAAAAAACAAATAGACTATATAAGAAAACTACAAATAAAAGGATGTGCAATGTAACACTGCAACAAGTTAAAGTGTATCTGTGCATATGTGTCCTGACTGAGTGGAACTGGGAAAGGTAATAGTGTGCATTACAATGTGTTTAATACAGTAATAGTGTGCATTACAATGCGTGTAATAAAGTTCATGTGCAGCAGTTAAAACAGTGGGACAACACTGAAGCCTAATAAAGCCTTTAGCTAGGTCATGATAAGGCTCAGAGAAGTCATATGACTTTAGTTCAGAAGTTCTGGGAAGATCATTGTAAACCTGGATAGCTGAGCACTCTTCAGTGCCGCCCAGTGGAGGTGACTGAGTTAAAAGTTTGGGCCCTACACTAACACTTCTCTTGAACCAGTCAAATTTATTAGTGTACTTACAGAGCCATGGATATCCTATTATTAGTGGGTTCCTGGCAGTCTCAGTTAAGTAAAAACAGACCTGCTGCTTGTCCACTATCAACAATATGACTATGGCTCTATATATTCTAATTTTCCTGTCACTAAAGGCCATCCTTCCAGAGAATGCACCAATACAGGTTTAGGTGCTGACATGGCACCTGCTGCTCATGCATGGTGTGCTGTATCGTGGACCTGTTTCCATCCATCCATCTCTCTAATTTTTAACCAGGAGTGGTGTGTGGCTCAGTGGGCTAAGCCTTTGTGCTTGTGATCAGAAGATCACATTTCATTGTGACACTTTTAATGCAAAGTGACATAAGAGATTTGACTGGAAAATTAAAAATAGTGTGATGTTCATGATGAATGAAATCCAATGCAGAACTGCAGCCAGAAGACACACCCCTGGATTGGATTCCAGTCCATCACATGGCACAGACTCTATTCACTGTGAACCATATACTCACACAAACTACACATAGCAAAGCCGCAGAAACAAAAGGAAAATCTAAAGACTTCATATCTATAGAGCCAGGGCTTACAATCCTGACTATTGTGGCAATCCCTGGAACTGAATATGTACTTAAGACTTTGTTAAAATTTGTAGTGGATAGCCTTAATGAGAATCTGAATCAAATTATTGGCCAAGCATGATCACACACACTCACACACACAATGACTCTTCAGTGTACTTATGGCAGTTCCACATGCATACACACTTAAGACGATGACCTTATATCTAAAATAAATAAAAAAAATGCTGAGAGAAAATAGTACACAAATAATTTCACTGTATTAGCAATAGAGTATGTGAGTATGTCTTTAAAAGCATTCCCTGACTTCTACCTGAAGGTGGCTGGCGGTGCCACATACACTGCTGTCGTCATCATCGTCCGCCATATTGGTCGAGAAGAGAGTGGAGGTAGAACGGGAAGGGAATCTCGCTGTTTTTTGGGCTCCTCCGGATCATCTGCAACACCGAGTAAAACTCAACTGGGGAAACAGGGTTCAGGCCATCGATCGGAGTTCATTTATGTATTGGGAACCTTGAAGCGCTGCTAATCGTAGGCAAAGGCGAGATCCGCTGCAGCGTCACTAGGAGCTTGTGTGCCGACCATGACTTCCCTGACCCAGAGGAGCTCGGGCCTGGTGCAGCGGCGCACCGAGGCCTCGCGCGGCGCCTCCGCCGACAAGGAGCGCGGATCCGGGGATGAGGACTACGAGACGCGGCGCCGGGACGAGCAGGAGGACGACGACAAGGGGGACTCCAAAGAAACGCGCCTCACACTCATGGAAGAGGTGTTGCTCCTGGGATTGAAGGACCGAGAGGTGTTTGTTTTATATTATTACACGTTTTATCACGCGTTCTTACCGATGTTTCGCCTTAATGCCTGTAGCCACAAATTATTAGCTTACTGGAGTGTAATTGAGGCCGATTTCTTCCGTATCATCACGTCTGTTTTGTGACAAAGGCTGGGCTGTTTGCTTTCAGGATATAATATGTAGTATTTTTCACACTGGTTAACAGGTAATTCATGTAAAATCCGTACGTAGCAGTTCATCTCCCGCCCCGGAGCAGTTATGTAAGAAACTGGAAACAAACCGCTAGCTAGCTGTGTCCATTAGGGTGTCATTGAGTTTTGCCTGTTTCCTTTGGGTTGTCAACCCCGAAATTTCACGCTAATTACCAAGAAATAACATTTTAGGAAGTAATCCAAACGTTTGGTAAGTGTTCCCGAGAAGTTGGTCTCAGCTTGCCCCGGCGGTGAGTCTGTTTGTCCTTCTTGGAAAATGTTATTTGCAGGTTAGTGGTTTAATGTGGGTTCAGTACATGTTCAGTTACTAGGTGCACATAATACGTTCTTGACGTGTAGAGAAATCGGAGCCACCATTTATGTGTAATAGTACTAGCCAAAGAATTTTATTTAAAATGGCATTCTTTTCTAAGTAAGTCAGGAGGGCTGTATTGTTTCACAATTGTCACTTTAAATGCATCTGTCATAAATTTTATCTGCATATTGTCGTTGGGCTGTTTACGTTAATGAGTTTTAACTGCTTTAATGCGGTTAGCCACTGCATACGACTGTTCATGCGACAGTTAATAGAGATTTTATTTATTATATAAATATTGCGGATTCTTGACGGCTATTCTGTTGTACCCGTTGGGTGAGGCTCTTGATTTCCTTCGGTCTGGACACGTCGAGCTGTGCAAATGGGCTAAAATGTTCACTATGAAGAGGGACTTTTTGGTTCTGTTGATCATACTTGCATAACTCCTGTTTATTCTGTGTTTAATTTGGTCGGTTGAGTTAAGTGTTTGTAGTAGACCTGTTGCATAATTTTACTAAAACATGTCTTGACTCCTTATTTTAACAAGCAATACATCTGTTTCGGAAAATGATGACACTAAATAATTCCTAGCTGTTTCTATAGTTATTATCTAAGGGCTCGTTCCCACTTGTGCGCTGCGTTACAGTGCATTTTGAAATGTTATGTGATATGTTGTGAAACTTTTAAAATCTGCAGAGTTTTAGAATACCATTATTTAACTAGGAACTTAACTAACAGTAGGGTAAATTATAAAGATGTTTCTCAATAGGTGAAGTATCTTAATGAACAATGACTCACTGTTGAAAGGATCATATATATAGCTGTTTAAGTATTACAGACTGAAGCAAATGTGCAGGATCAGTGCAGCATCCCACCATAATTGGTTCATGACATATTGCCTTAACCTGTGAAATTCTTGTAAAAAAACTAATGTCCTCTTGGCCTGTTTGTACAGAGCTTGAGATTCTATTTGTTTTATTGTATACCATTTTGAGTTATGTTTTGCTTGAGTAGTATAGTTCAGAAATGCCCTTGGAATGCATGTTTAGGTTTAGAATATTAACATCACATGTAGTACTTGTAATGCATATTTAGGTTTATTTCATACTGTGGAACAGTATCTTACATAGATACCAGTGTTGAACAGGATTGTTTTGATGTTGTTACTGTTGAGTAGTGAATTTATTGTTAAAGTCACTTTGGAGAAAAGGCAAGAATGGTTATAGAGATGCAGTGGTCTGAATAGGTTATACTTTGTGGTACATGTGCTGTTAGCCATGATCCTCAAAAATGACTTATCTGAATAAACTGAATGGTGTAATTTGTGTATTGTATACTCTTACGTTAAGTACTGGGAAGTTCTCCAGTAAGCTATCAAGCGGATAGTTGTGTTAAATAGGTCCAGGAGAAGTACACTGTGGCACTGTCTGTGTCGAACCCTTCCCGGCTCACAAAGCCAGCCTTATTGAGGTGCTGTGTCCCACACGGGGCCTCTGCAAACAGTCTGTGCCAGAGCAGGCGTATGAGACACAGCTGAAAGTGAGTTTAAGAACTTATCATTGATGAGGCTTTTGAAAAATACATTTTTATGGTAATTCAGTGAAAGGTATTCTACTTTGACGAGTAATTCCCTGTTCTGTCAGCCATTTCACTTTTTGTTTTCTTTTAGTGTGCAGTTTTTGCTGCAAATACCTTTAACCAATTACACAACAATAGACGATACACTGTAACACAATTAGGGATGCAACTTATGAATAACTTCGATAATAATCAGCAATAAAAATAGTTACCAGCAAATTTTGTGATCAGTTTTTTTTTTAGCAGTTTGCCACCTAGCAGGGTTAACGTTGGTGTGTTAAAACTTTGTTCCTAATTCTCTGTTCATGTACCATTACAGTCTGCACATAGACTTTTGTATACACATTACATTTGTCCATGGACACAGATGGTCGTGGTCGGTGCATGCGTACAGCAGTGATATTCCACCAGAACAGCCAAGGGCAGATGTATTGTAGAATACACAAATTTCAGCAATGTAGTAAAATGGGTAAATGTTTATGAATCATTTTAAAGTTGTAGGCTTTAGCGGTATTATGGTAAGACGGTATATTGCGTTATTACAAAACATTTCTTGCTCTTGCACTTTTCTTTAAACCTTGTGTTTTGGCCCAACTAATTGATTAATCTCCTGATTACATGATTAATCGATTATAATAAATATGATAATCGCTTTTGCAGCCCTAAACACCATATATTTCTGAAGAAGTTTCTTCATGGGTTGCAGTTTTTTTTATACTGGACCAGGCCTTGTTTGCACACCTCTGAATGAATTTAAATTATTACTGTTCCATTGCAAACAAAGCAGTTTGCCATAGCTTCAAGGAAGGAGATTTGTCTCACACCCTGATATTTAAATAACTCATTAGCGGATATGTTCAAATTTCAGTTACCTAAGCTTGTCTTTGTGTCATTGAATTCTACCCTGAAATGCTGTTGCCAGCTGTCTATGATTTCCTTAAATATCTCCTGAGTTTTATTTACCTGTACTTTAGTTCAAGCTTACGCTTCCCAAATATTGATTTATCAGTTTTATCCAAGACAAAATTAATTTGTGACAGTAATGTATTCTCCCACTTGCTAGTGTCTTGGCATGAGAAAGCTTGGCATTTTATTTAATAAACTCAGGGGAAAGGTCATGCCTCTCTTCTGGCTTAAGTATCTTACAGTTTCATTAATGTCAGAATGAATGTGTATGACATACCATGTGTAAGAATCTGTATCTTTTGTTAATCTTCTTAGTCCACCAGAGTTACTGAGGTTAAATAGGTCACTCCTTCAGACTCTGTAGCTTTAGCATGAACCATCAGTCACGTCACCTGCCAGCATTTTCAGTCTTGTCTTTGAGGTGAATGGCTTTTGATCAGTCTAGTTTTTTCCACCTGCAGCTTTTTCCTTCGAAGTCTTGTATTCTGGAAGCTTACATTTTCAGTTGATTTTTTTATGCATTAGCATCATCTTAGTAGTTGGAAATTTGCCAGGAGTTTCATTGTCCTTTGTTTATTCTTGTTTATCATCTTAAAATTGGAAATTAGGTTTTATTTTCTTCAAATACCTTTGTATGCCTTTCATCTGTTATGGTAGGTGATGTTGCAGAAAGGTATTTAGGAGCATTTTAATAATGAACTGCTTTTTATATCCATTTCTTTTCTCATGTGGTTTCCAACAGGGCTTCTGTACTTTAGTAGCCCGCATTTTATGAACATAATTTGGATTTGCAGACTAACCCACTCGGCCACCTCCAGCCTACACTGACCTTTGATATGAATTATGTTTTTCATGCTAGCAGAAATGCTTAATTTAAATATGGGACTTTTAATTACTTAACATCCAGCAACAGTAAATCTTTTTTCTGTTTGGTTTTCTCCTATACATTTGTTGAGCCGTATCAAGGTGAATTACTAAGCTTTGTTTCTAATTTTAAACCTTACTTTATATCATTAACCATTAGGACAGCTTGCAAGTGAACTGTGTTGACATCATTTCCTGTAATTGCTCAAATGCAGAGTTTTTAATTATAGTCAATGAGTCCTATCTGCACTAATACGTTTTCGTTTAGTAACGCAAAAATTTTCTTCTGATTTAGCCTTCTGTTCGCACTACCATGGATCTTTTTTCCCCAGAAAGGGAGAGAAATTTTGCTGCTCCCCAACAACTAATCTTTCTGTAAACACATTAGTGCAGATGCTCATAAACATAAAAATTTTACTGCGACTACATCAGTGAGCTCCGATTGGTTCGTAATTATCCGTTTCCTGATTAGCTATCTTCGATGCCTTTTTCCCAATTGGTTATTCTTCACGGGAACAAAGAATGCTTTGCCTTTATTTTCATGGAAGCAAGCCACATGTGAATATGGAGGATGTACAGGACTTTGTCTACCAGGCATATGTTGTTTTACTTGTGTGCAGCTAAATCATGTTTTGTGTACATTGTGTGTTTACAATTATTGTGGAGCTCAAAACGAGACTGTACCTGAGCCAAAGTTAAGCGCAACTCTAGCTTATGATAAAGACATCCAGCCATTGAACATTAGAGTGCACTGAAACTGAGGGAAAGAGAGAGAGACTAGTGGTTAAATTTCTGGATCTCTGTGTTGCTGGTGTGAACCTTTTGTTTACAGCTTTGTGTTTGTGACGCAATGGTACTGTGATATTTTGCTTTTACTAAATAAAATATGTGTATTTACTTTAAACCCATGGTGGTTTGTGAGATTAATCAACATGTCAAGTGTTTATAAAAACTGAACTTTATTATTAATCAAAATCAAAATAAATGATTGAAAATGCATACTTTGTCACTTCTAGAATTATAATTCGAACTATGAACTATTAGAATTATGGTCGAACAAAAAGCATGCAAATGACATGTTGTGCTCAAGTTACAACAAACAAAATATAAAGTATGCCACTTACAAGAATACATTATAAAAGGCTTTGGTTAAATGTGCAAGTGAAAAATCTCAGAAATACATACATTAATTACCACTCACAGCTACGTCATTTGCCTTTTACACAGAGCAATGTGAACGCAGAAGTTTTTTTTTTAATGCTACTGATAATGCCAGTGCAGACGCAGATATTTTCTTTCAGAAACTCTTGTAAATTTTTTGTTAATGTATTAGTGTGGATGTAGCCTTATAGAATAATGCTTTGCGCTGTAATGTATGAACTTTTTAGTTAAATATTGTGAAAATGAAAAAAGGTTCACAGGCCAACTACAGTCTGTGTCTCACCGGAAATATTTCCATTACAAGCTAGAGTTATTGAAAAATGTTCAATAACTCCAAATCTCCATATACCATGCATCCAATACCTACAATATATGTGTAATTTAAATGATAAATCTCTTGCATTTTTGTTAAGGGTACAACAGCTGAGATAAAGTGCTGAGTTTGGTAATACTTCTGCATCTAGCTGGTGTTTGAATTTTCTTGCTTTGATATTGCTGTTTTTTATGTGCCAGCATTTACATTCTGCACTGAGATTAGCACTGCAGCAACAAATAATTTTAAGTAGGTTATGGCTGTGACCATTGTAATTAAACACTGTTACTACCATGTAGTCAACATCCTGATTATGATGGAAAAATAACAGCTCTTCACTTATGGTTTTATTTCTGGGAAAACAGTATTAGTGGTTTGCCAATAAATGGTTTTCATTTTATAGTTGTCTGTCTATAATTCCACTTAATGCACTTGGTCCCAATATTTTTCCTAATTATGATTATTTGAATTGAGTTTGATATAATTTTTATTAGCTTATTTACCATAGACCTTGTTTGTAACGTTAATTCATATGGATATTAAGTCCAGCACTAGTTTCTTAGACCATGGTACTCATTGATGATGAAATGGTGGAAACAATTTCCAATGTTACTGTAGAGGTCTACAGAATAAAAAAACTTTATTTATTTATTTAGATATTTCTATGTATTATATAACACACTTAGCTACTTCATAACATGTTTATCATTTCTGTTCCTGATTGCTCTTTCATCTGTATTCGCAGGGGTACACGTCCTTCTGGAATGACTGCATCTCTTCTGGGCTGCGTGGGTGCATGCTCATCGAGCTGGCCTTGAGAGGGAGGCTGCAGCTGGAGGCCTGTGGCATGCGGAGGAAAAGTCTGTTAGCCAGGAAGGTGTGTACCATCTCATAGCCTGTCAAGTAAGGGATAATGTACAGGCAGCCGGTAGTTATCGCAGAAATAAGACCCCGACAGTGTGATCAGGACCCGACGCGAAGCGGAGGG